CGTGTCACAACTATCACCTTTAAATTTCTTTTTGTGTTTAATTTACAAACTTGTCTTTGGAATTGTAAACTTTGGTTGAATGGTGTAATTAAATTTTAAATGTATGGTTGTGTTTCTTTATACTCTATTGCTATGAGACTCTACCTGTCATACCTCGTGTTTCTGCTTTAGTGGGGTGTGACATCGAATAATGATTGTTCGATTCTGCTCTGATACCAAGTGTGAATTCCAGTTCAAACACAACAATTCAAGATTAAAAACAGATTGAAGAACATATTACAAAATTATTGAAGAACACATGCCTGATCTTTTTATTGAATGAAAATAGAAAGTACCCAACAATCCTCTCACTCTAAATGACTCTCATTGGAACAAAAACTACTAAATCTCAAGCCCAAGACACATATTTATAGGTGTCACTTACAAGGTATAAGCCCAATGCTCAATGCCCAATGCCCAATGCCCATTACATTACAATACAATGCAAATTTATAAAACTTTCAATATCTTGGGGCTAATGTAGACCCAACACTTAGCCTACTTGAAAAAGTAGGATGAGGCTATTTTACAAATGGAGAACAAAAATACATTGCTCAGAGATTGGCAGATGAAGAGAGATGTTGTTTATGAGCTGGTATGAGGATTTAAACACCTAGATGAAGCAAGCACCATCCTACCCTACCTAGAGATATTGATGAAGGCGCAAGATGAACTCCTGGAAGCTATGATAGCAATTGCAGTTAGACCTACTATGTCTGAGTAGGAGAGGTTCATTCTTCATTACCTTTGCACCATAGGGTTTAATTTTAATTTATTTTTACACCTTTTAGGATATCTAAGTATGGGATATTGTTTTTAGCTTTTATTAAGAGTCTTATAGTCTTTCACACGTTATATCCCAAATAATTTTGATGTTCATGTCCATTCTAAGTCTAGAGCTAGAACCAAGCAATGCCTTTCATGGGCAACAACTTGGAAACTATTTCATACACTTAGAAAATGATTTTGGCCTTCTTTTCTATACACTAGCCAACCACATATACTCTTTTGCAACCTTGAACCATACCTAGTGCCACCCTCGATGAGGACATTGAAGATTTCAAGAGTGGGGGAGGGATATCACTCAATGTTGTAAAAATGATCAAAGAGCAAAAAATTAGTTCAAAACAGCAAAGGCCAAAACAAAATAAGTCAAAGTAGAAAATATGAAATTTGCTGCTATATTGCAGCAAGACAAACTAGTATTTTTAAGTTGTTATAGAAAGAATAAAAAGGAGCCTAAAAGTTGAAAATTTCCACAAAAGCCCTATTGACTAAATTTTCGAATGAAATTTTCCTAACAATATGAAGCTTGAATCGTGGTCTATGGAACTAGAATCTTAGGTATGGATGCACTTGGATTTATAAAAGGCTATAATTTTGGCATGGATTATTATGTTTATTTTGTTAATTTTTTTTTGAAATTGAGTCTTTTATTTGTCATCTTTGCTGCTTGGGGACAAACAACAGTTCAAGTGTAGGGGTGTGATAAGTGTATTTTCATGCCCACTTCTAGTGTAATTTTAGGACTTTAAAAATTATAGTAGTTTGAGTCATTTAATTCATATTTTAGCTTTGTTGAGCTTGGAGCATAGTTAGAGAGTTTGATCTTGTTTTAAAGCGAAATGGAAAAATATACTAACTGTGAGGTTGCTATAGAATTCTATAACATGTGCACCAGATCATCTAAGGAGTTTAGTTGGATTCCAAGTGCTTGTTGAGGAATTTCTTTTGGTTAATCTGAAGAATTTGAAGCTGACTTCTTTCACTTTTTGTTATCTACTAGTTGTGTACCCGCGCAATGCAGCGGGAGCCGTGAATTTTAACGATTTTAAAGTTTTACTGGTTTTATTAGAGAAGATTTAATGATGATATAAGTTACACTTGTTTTTTTACATATTAATACAATTTGAATAAATAAGAGTTATGATTCCAATTACAGTCTATCGATGAAAAAAATTATATGACAATTTAAAATCCATTATATTTAAAATCCAACATACTTAAACGACTCCATAAATGTGTTCGATTTACACCAARAGCAAAGAATGAAGGTATGAGTGAAAGGACATAAATATAAACTAATATCAGCAAGAGCAGCAAGAGCAGCACCAGCACTGGGACCATAACCARATACAATATTTAGCACACCAGGAGGAAGTCCTGCCTGTTGAATGCATACAACATAGAATTAAGGTTATCCTTCAAAATGTAAAGAGAGAGAGAGAGAGAGAGAGAAGCGAAGGAAGTTGAGCAAATTTGAGTGTTACAAATCTTTATATTACCTCAAGGAAAAGCTTTGAAACATAGAGGGCAGATAATGGTGTCTGTTCAGCAGTTTTAAGTACTACAGTGTTACCACAAGCCAATGCAGGCCCAACCTTCCAAGCATACATTAGAAGAGGGAAGTTCCATGGTATAATTTGCCCTGCAACACCAATGGGTTCATGCAGGGTCTGGACATGATGCGGACCATCAGCCTGAATTGTGAGGCCATGGATTTTGTCGGCCCAGCCTATGAAATGGTAACAACAACACCAAGATGGTCAACTCTTTTTAAAGGAAAAGGTATAAATGAACTCAAAGACATAAAGAGTATCATTTAGAATGAACTTCGGGCTAAGTAGTGATCTTATTAAGCTAAAATTTTGTATATAAGTGAGATCATTGGGGTTCATTGTAATCATTAATATACTTAGTAGTCAATTTTTTTACTTATAAGTTATAATCATTTGGAGGTAATTTATATAATTAAATTTAGTTCCCCCTTGACCAATATTTCTGCATCCACCACTACTTACCAGCATAATACCGGAAAAGAYGAATGAGCAGGGGTATTTCATCTGCTGCTGCCTGATCATATGGCTTCCCATTATCCCAAACTTCAAGAGCTGTTATTTCATCAGCATGCTTCTCAAGCAAATCAGCAAAGCGCAACATTATTCTAGATCTTTCCTGGTGACATATATGAAAAATGAATAAGATGCTGATACTACCACTTAATTTGTTGGCTCTTTCTGACGGAAGGATATCATTGATTTCTTAACATTTAACCTCCTTCAGCCCCACACCGAAGTACAAAAATGTCGGGTCAGCAGCACCATCTTTGTAGTAAGCGAACACTGTTGTACTGTCATCATGCATGCTCTCCYCAACAAAACTGCATAACCACCGATGTTTCCACAAAATCAGTACAAATATATGGAAGAAACATTCAACATTACCATTAAAATTGACCAAGTGACAGTCATTGTAGGAGTTCTAACCTCATCAAAGGTAAAAAGTGTAAGTGATCATTTCTTGTATATGAATATTATATACTTCAAAAAATGGACCTAAGACCAAGTCTAATAGTAACATTGGTCATTGTGGTCATTGTCACTTACACTTACATTGCTGATTGAATGTCAAGTTGAAAGACTTGATGGCTGAGTAAATATGTACAAACCTAACCATGCACTTCTTTGGCCAAGATAAATGTTGAAAATATGTTCTACTTTCATCTACTTTAAAAGAGCCCTAAATAAGTCAGGAATCTTGTGGATGGAGAAAGAAAAAACAAGGTCTAACAAGATCCTTCTTTGGTAACCACTTCCAATCACTGCTCTGCACTCGTAACTACAGAAAGATTATTGTAATAATACTTTCTACTTTTCTGTTTCTCAAGTAGTATGATAATTAGAACCTAATCCTAATTCCCCAATTCACAAATAAAGATCTAGCCTTTTTTCATGTAATACGGCCAGCCGACAGAATGACAAATAAAAAAGGCTTCCATTCATATGCAAAGAAACGGATGAACAAGAGACTTACAACTGAAGGTCACTGAGCTTTGAGAGGAGGTACTTGGTTGCTGCCTCAATGTTTTCCTTAAAGTACTCTTGCTTCTCTGCATCAAGCTTGGGAGTAAGTTGTTTGGTGTACCTCTTGATGTAAGTAACAAACTGCTTCTTGTCAAAAGGAGGTTGCTCCTACACATAATGTGTTTTCAAATGGTCAAATAAATGGAATTCTCAAAGTTTATTAGGATACCAGAATACTTTTTACCTGGAGTCTAAAGGTATCAACAATGTCGACGACCTTCACTGCTYGATCAWCAACACCCTYGTCTTCATYACCTCYTTCAGCAGAAGGSTTCGCACCAATGTTAACATCCACTGCTCCTTGTACCACCCACTGCAGACAGGAGTTTTCATATTACAAGTTAGTAACATGTGATTAATCTATAGTTTACTCACAGCTTCCACATCAAARATCTACAAAATGAATGATGGTACAAAATGAAAATGCCAGAAATTCGAAGACCATAACCCTAATTATTGAACAAGAATACCGCATCCAAAGTCTCAAAGATATCCATATACATAATAAATGGACTAATGTTGGAATTACCTGCTTGAAAATGGTACTTGTACCAGATCCCTCTAATTGCCTTCAATTCTCTGTTTCTTTTCATCATTTMTTTCTTTTCTTTTACCATTCTACAACCAATCAAGAACCATAGAACCTTAGAACATGATGTCAATTGGACATTTTCCTGAACTTCGTATACGTGGTGGCATGGTAGTTAGATAATGGAGACCAAAATAGCAAAGTTCATTATTTTTTTGCTTAATTACAATGCTAAAAAACAGATTAAGTTAAAAGATCCACGAACAAACCTCAATAGTTAGATCCACCTAAGCTTTGATGAAAAACCAAA